TCCAAATTCGCTAGGACACCGGGTCCGGTCCAAATCCGTTAGAACACCGGGTCCGGTCCAAATCCGTTAGGACACCGGGTCCGGTCCAAATCCACTAGGACACCTGGTCCTCTCGTGGACAGACTCTTTAAAAACTCTTCACGGTGGCTAATTTACGTTTTCAACTCAGTTGTTAACAATAAATTACCTGAGAAGAAATACAGTTCAATATGAAAAATATTTACGCAATTACTCACGTTTTCGAAAACGATACACGTGTAGTTCATTGACACGTTTTGCGAATTCACGTGGCCGGTGGTGAGCGTAGACATTGCTGTCTTTCAAGTCATTATTTTTTTATCAGTCGCATTTTGTATAGCCCGAGATTGTACTGTTGCTATTGGATCAGTCGCATTTTGTATATCCCGAGATTGTACAGGTACTATTGGATCGAAATAACATAATGATCCCAATTAAGATTCGCAAATTTGGGTTGTGTCCTCGTGTACCGGTACACAAAGGAACGAAACATTAACGAACTGTGTCACAACTCCATGTATGGATATGAAAACAATAGGAATTCCCCCGTGTACCGGTACACCAGGACAGCCCCCAAATTTGGTCCAGTCACAAGCTTGGAACCCGATTCCTCACGAGGAATAAACGTAAACACGTTTTCTGTGAAATTTACGTGGCATGTCACGCTTATGTTTGTAGAAGGCCTTTACGTTGAATCGCACAGTTTAAGTCACGTTGAATGTTTACATCTAGTTTGGAGCAAAACTCCCGTGTAAGGTTTACTTCCAGTTTGCATCACACATCGCTGGGCTCTTTATCTGCACAGCTCCTAGATACGATTTTATCTGAGAACATGAATATCGGTTGGTTAAATGGTTACTTTTCGATCACCTCATCCGAAAAAGATCGACGCACGTTCTTGAGCACATGCTTAAAAAACCACGTGAATAAAAAATGTGACTTTGAGAGTTCCCATGCTAATATAAAATACACATATAATTAAAACTCGTCGAGACCGCTTTTCAGTCTGTGCAAAGTAGACCAACGAATTTTCAGTGCAGAGAAACAAGGCAGAAAGAAGTTGTCCCTGCTGTTTATTTTTTTTGAAATATTCCTTCAAGTATCAATGATGTCTTGAATCTTTGGGTATGTCTTTTATTTTATTGCTACTTTTTTCCTCAGTCTTAACAAGCACTAACGCACTATTGTATTTTAAAAAATTTCTGAATCATAGCAGTTACTAAGGTCTTTCGTATGCTGATTCTCTAAGGAGTAAAAATTTTTCTTGGCACAAATCCTATCCAGAGTGTATGAGAATGCAATCCCAAAAAAGCATTTTTAGTTTTTGTAGTTCGACGTTTCCGGGACCGAATTGACCTCGTCTGGTGTGGGTCACGCTTTCAAATCAACACTCTGTTCTCTGTTTAGAGTACTTTTGTTATCTATGATGTATGTGATTGTCTTTTTTCGTGTTTTGCTTTTGAGGCCAATTTTGGCAGAGTGTATTTGATAATCCAGTAGTCAACTTACTAGACATGTCACTATTCAGTAATTTTGAAATTTATTTTGTATTTGAGAGTCATCAAATCACCGGCAAGGCTGACGATCCATTTACAAGAACTAAGTATTGCTGATAAAGAGATTTCATATGTACTGCCCAGTCCATATTTTTTGCACCGGTGATCTTTTTATCTTTTCCATAAATGACAGAAAAATCACGATCAGAATGTTATGAGTCAGTTTAGAAAACGTCGTGGAAATTGGTAATGTTTAAAGCTCGGATTTCTGCTCAACGACCTTCCGTTAGTTTCTAAGGTTCTTTTACCATGAAGCATGAAAACTTTGCGGCTCTCAACTTTTTACGGATATTCCTCGATCCGTAGAAATGAGTTCTGACAGATGCCGTCCGGTGATGAGAAAATCTGTACTAGTAGATAATTAAGATGTCAACCTCGTGCATGGGTAGAGAAGTAAATATCATGTTTCGATCTTCTACAGGCTTCGCCTTCACCGCGTTCGCATAGCCTTTTTGTCTTATCTGTCCTCGCTTCATTTATGAGTTTTCTTTGTCTCTCGCGTGATTTTTAAGTCGATTCACAGCAATTTAGTCGATTTTTAAGTTCCTTCGCCTTTTGGATGTAATTAAACTTTTGTAAAAGTAAGATCCTTGAAGACAAATCGCATCATCTGTTGTTATAGAACCCTCATTAAATCGATTGTTTCGCTAAGTTGACGGATAACTCCTAATTCTTTTTAAAAGTTCCTGATGCACGCTTAAATTCTTTTAAATTATACGTGTCAACTTCGTTGATCGGTCGTTTGAGTGAAGGACAGAAGTGAAGAGCCTGCAACTAGCTCGCAAATTGCTTTTTGTCAGTATAATTAGGTTCAATCTGGGTGCGGAAATCGGGACAGTTGCGGAGAGAAAATCTTTAGGCAGAGACTAGCGCACAGACGTATTTCATGTCTTAATAGTCAGGATATGGTGAACTTCATGGCGGAAATAACCGATGCCCCTAAAGTGATCGGCGAAATGAAAAATCTCAAAAACAAAATGAAATGTGCACCGTACATCATGAAACATCGTGTGCACCAGGATAATAAATTACTGAAACTATTTAATATTGATGTTTGTTTCTTGGGCTTTGAAAGATTAGGGGCGCTGTAAGTCGTTGACTCCTGAGCATCTTCAATGAGCTTGCGTTCAGTAAGGGTTAGTTATGTTTGAGATACTGCTCAAGTGAATGCATCGAGCAAACCTACGTAATCAATTTGTAACTGCTCTTGACTTAAATTCGATGGAAATTAAGGAATATGTACCAGCATTCATGATTCGCCGTAATAAATGTAAAAGAATCTTAAGTTAGCTGCTCTCATATTTGATTAAATAAGTTCATCCATGTTGAAGTCAGGACATCTTGTTTTAAACAAGTATTAGCATGTGCGTCATGGCGGGGTATCGAGCTCGCTAAAATTACTTTTCTTCTTCAAATAAATCAAACAAACTTTTCATATAGCTCAAACGCATTTGCATGAATTCTGTATAATAATAATAATAAAGGACATTTACCAATCCCGATCGTAGTTGTGTTGGGTAAGCGGTAGCAGCTGCAACCTTTCTTTCTCCCTATTCAATAGAAAACGGGAAGCAAAAAATAATTATTTGGTAATTGGAGCGTTTATGCCATTTCTTAGCTGCAAAAGTCCATTGATTCTGACAAGATTATCAGGAGGGGGAAGCATATAGAAAGCAAGGTCTTATATCACGTAAAAGTATCTGTAAATCGTACTTTTCCCGTTATGTTCGGCCTCACTTTGATAATCAGAGCCACGGATCCTACTTTCAGAATCCTTGTTATTCATTACTCAATAATTATAATCAATTCAAGTTTCAATTTCTATCATTTACCAAAAACTGTTGTTTGAATGGTACCAGATACCAGGAAAAGAAGAATCAGAGTTTTTAGGATGTCCATGTCTTCTTAGTAGATTCGTGTTCGCACTGATAAAAGCGGTCAGAAAAGTAAGGCATTTATGGACGAGCAGGAATTTTAAAGCCACCTTTCTCCGCCCAAGTGTCACGTGATTTTTAATGTAAACAAGCCGCGAAAGTTCTGACATTGAGTCAACCACCTACTACCCGTGTACGAACTTCGAATTTGGCATTTTGTTGTAAATAATTTCCAATGTCGTGAAGCGCGCGTTTTTATGCTCAAAATTGATTGTATAGCTTTCCAGACCACATGAATGACGGCCAATGCTACCAGGCCATTCCGCGTATTGGACATGGCAGGCTATGCAATTTGCCTGAGCTCATCTACTGGCTTACAAGCGCTACCTGGCGAGAGTTCCACTTATAGCCTCTAGGCGGATTGCGCGAAATCCCAGACAGAGGCAGGCAAATAAGGCTTTGCGCTCTCTATTGAATGCAAATAAAACACTCCATCGGATTCCACAAAGTGTATGCATCTGCCCACTCTATGGCGTAAGCGATGTTTTCTACCATTTGCTGTATGTACGAGTGGCTTTTTATCAAAAAGGAAAAAGTTGGTCATTCGTAGTTTAAGAAATTTGGATTGCGGATTTTCACGGAGAATGCAGAGAAATGAATCCTCCTGTCTATCTTATATTAAAGGCAACATGCGTGTTCTCCAGCAAAACTTATTTATTGTTGACTTCCGTGATTCAAAGAAACTGTTTAGGCCCATTTCATTATTACACTACTTGTTTGCAAGTCGAATTGGATCATTAAATGTTTTGTTTGTTGAGTCTATTCATGTAACTAATCTCAAATCCCTTGAAATCTTTACCAAACAAAATCCAAACTGACCGAGTTAAATGGCAAAACAACCACAAAAAAACCCATAATACTTCTTAATTGAATATGTAAAAAGAGCGAAGAAGATATGAGCGAACTTCGCTAAGTCGGAAAACCCTTTTTCTATCGACTGCTGCACATCTTTCATTTTACTCAGAAAAAAAATGGGAAACTCTTAACCTTAACCGAGATCCACTAATTCGAAAAATTTTGGAAAACTCACATCTCTCCATGTTTAGTGTACTTCCCTAAAAGCGCTATGGATGTGTTGCTAAGTCTCTGAGACTCTGAACCTGTGTATGTGATAAATTATCAAATACACATTTCGAGTTCGACATCAGAATAGCATAGTATTCAGTATCAAAGAAGAAATCGAGAAGCCTAAATATGTAAGGAAATCGCGAAGAGAAGGGCTCCGTTCTTAAAAAAAGAGAAGTGAGGTCTGTCGCCATCCAAAGCCCTACTCAAGCCGCACTATCTGCTTTACCGCAAGCAAACCACTCAAAAGATCCATTATACCCACGTCTCGGGTACTCCAAAAAGACACTTTTGATGGAAACACAGAGGTAATCGTTTCATATTCATCGATGAATCTTGCGACATATTAAATCTTCTTTTTCTATCACGTATACTTTAACACTGATTTGACCAAGCAATCAACAGGGGTTGAAATACTTGAGAAGGCTGGCCATAGAAATCCTGAGGTATGAAGGTTTCACATGATGCTACATTTACAGCTGGTTTGCATTGTGATAAGCATTTTTTCCACAGTTACAATATACATGTGTGTCATTCAAAATTCCATGTCAATACTGATATTTTTGTCCAATTTACTACGATCAGAAATATTCAACAGAGTTTAATTCATTCAAAATGAAAATATTTACCAATATATGGAGAGTTACATTTTGTTTATATGTAGTTCAAAGAACATGCAAATTCTGAAATAAGAAGTATATATACCATGGGTTGCATCGCAAACAAGCCTTTCAGCTGCAAAAGCAAAACTTATTATGTTGCTACCTACTTGTAGTGTCAAAGCATGTGCCAAAGCATGTGCCAAATATCAGTTTCTAGACGAGATTGATGAACAGTGCAGAAGTCTATGTCTGCAGAAACCTGGAACTGCTGACTTTTGTGTCTTACATGCAACTAGGAATAGTACCAAGTCGTCCCTTGAGGATTTCAGTCGGAGCAGCTTATTAAAGAAATGATAGGTTGAGCTCCTAACTTTCTTGATTTTAAGACCGCTGAGCTGAAAGTTGTAACAGTCTGAAAGAAATAATTTATTTTACCTTTCTTTTTATTGAAGCAATGATGTAATTTTAATCTTGAAACATTACAATTGCAAAATGTAAACCTTCCATAAGCTTGATTTATCAAACTGAATTATGCAAAAGAAAGAAGCTAGAGCGAAGTCAAAGCTTGTGATGTTTTTTCAAGGTTCAAACTATATCCTTACCTATCTTTTTCTCTTGATCTTCAAGAGGGATGTGAATATTTGATTCCTATGCATCTGTTTTCAGTAAACTCAAGGTCAAGTGAGAAAAAAAAATTTGTAAAAATATAACACATCAAGTAACGACTTTCATTTTTGCTTCCTCAAGTTATTTTGGAACAAGTAACTGGTACAATAGTAGTAAAATAATTTTATTCTCACTTTAAATAATAACAAAGTACATTGAAATGACAGGAAATATCAAAGCAGTGTCAAAAGAAACTTGTTTGGCATGTTTTCATTGTTAAGTAGGTCAAAGAAAGTTAGGAAAGTTGTCTAAGGTATGTGGTATATTAGGGCGAATAAAAGGGTGTTTTTATAAGAGTTTCAAAACATTGCTGTTTTTCTTTGTTTTGTATTCATCCCAGCTCAAGTGCAGTCACCTGTACAATCATCAGGATAGGATTCACGAAAAGCAAAAAATGTATTCTTTAAAGACTCAGCATACGAAAGACCTCAGCAGCTGCGATGATTCTTAGAATAACCTTTTTGTCATCTTTAAGGGTCAGTTACGAGTTCAGAAAAAGCTCTTCAGGGCTTTTAAGAAAAAAAAAGATTAGCAATGAAATAGAAGACATACCCAAAGATTCAAGACGTCGATACCTGATGTAATGTTTCAAGACATAAACTGCTTTTCGGTCGTTTCCATACACTAAAGATTCGCTGGTCTAGTTTGCATAGACGGAAAACCCGTCTCAATAAACTTTACATACCCTACATCTAATTCATATTAGGGTCTCAAATTCACATTATTGGGAACGTGTACACCCCGATATGTGACCAAGGACGTGCGTCGATTTCCTTTGAATTTGGTAATTGAAAAGTATTAAATTGACCGACAATAATTTTTCTCTCATGTAAAATTAATTTAATTCAAGAGAATTATGACCAATCAATAGGCAGTATTTGAGTGACATGTTTACCTCTGTAAACCCCAATGTAAATCTACTGTATGAAAGCACGAGGAGGGTTTGAAAAGGTAGCGGGGAAAGGCTGGAGTTGATGATTATGAACTAATTAGTAGAATTAGCAATAGAATTAATTTCCATAAAGATTACCAATTCCCCTACTTAGTGTGCTTAACTTTAATAAAGACGAGTCCTAAAAATGTTTACAAAGTTTATTAATCGATCACTAGTTATTCATAGAGCAGCCTTTACTGTGCTCTGTTCTGTTGTAAAGCACGCAGGAAGCCCTTAAAGCACGAAAGAAGTGTGGGGAGAAACACGTGACGTTGTCTCTTGGCGCTTCCTACGTGCTTTAAAATGGAATAGAGCACAATCAAGGCCCATTTATTTGTTTTATAGTAAAGAATTCCCACGCAGTACTTTCAAATTTCAGAACAAACATTATTTCAAAGCGAACAACCGTGTCGTCAGCATGCTCTATACTCTCATAAAGCACGCTACAATAGGTCAGTCGGAATCCTTGGTGGAATGGTTTAAATAATCTGATTGGTTGAACAAGACTTAAGCTGTCAAAAAATGTCAAACCATCAAAAAGTCCACAAACTAAAATAGTTCGGCAGCTCGATTTTAACACTTGCCTGAAGGATTGGAGTCACTGGTACAGAATTTCAAAGAGAAATGTTCAGAGAAATCCGGCTGAATTGAAAATCATAAAAACACACACGATTTTTTAAATGACAAATGGTAAAAAAACTGCTCAAGGCGTGTGTTTCATGAATGAACAACAGCTGAATTCACAGGAACATAAAGATTGCTCGAAATGACAGCGCAGTAAAACTCGGCTGCTGTGATTGATGTGGCCTTCTGGTCAACGCATCGGTAAGGATATCAGAGCAAACTCTTAGTTGTTCACTTGAAGTGCGACCGATTTAATTTCTGAGGCTTGCCTCAATGCGATGACGGGAGATCGCCCTGATGAGCGCAAGCAAGCCGCGATGGACTTCAGCACGACCGCAGTCGCTCAGACACCGTCACGATTAGTGAACTTTAATAGTTATGCCAGTTTGCCAATTTTTTTCATCATTCCTGTTTGTGAACACGAAACTATATATACTACATAAGTATTAGCTGTGTTTGATTTTTATTACCATAGGTAAGCTTGCAATCAAACTGAGCGTGAAAAGCTTCAAAACTCGGATTTCACGTTATAATAACATCAATTACGGCGCTTGGCATGTTTATAAATCTTTGTTTGGTTCTTCTGTTGCTATTTCCTGCTCCCTTCTTCCGAAATGTCGCTTTCAATGAATGAAAAATAGGAAAAAAGAACAAAAATTGGGAAAAGTTCGGGAAACGGTCGGACATAGTACAATTTGGCAGATGGCGTGACAGCTTAAGCGCTCTTGCTTTAAATTCTATACTCTAATAGAGCACGCTGTTTCAACCAATGCGCGTTATACCCGAACTTTATTTTAATTTAACATATCAATCACTAGTTTGATATAACATAGAATACTAAACTGCAATTGGAATTTCATCTTCCTATTGTTTACATACAATCTAAACGTTTACATGCCCGTAAATATTACTTTTTCTCGCAGCAAAAGTTGATAGTGCAGTTGTTAAATACTGAATTGGCACAAAAGTTGTTGATATTACTTGTTAACGTATTCTCTGGCACTGGAATATTGGCTAATACATCATCTTATAAGTCAAGTGTGATATCAAACGCGAAAATATTTTCGGAAAGAACAGTCCTGCGTGTTCTGTAGGTTTTGGCAATTCATCCTTAACACTACTGCGCTCATTCTCCGTTTCTATAGAAGCAATGACTGTCCCTAAAACATTGCCAACATCATCTAACTCCTTTTCGCTCGGATTTTGATACGAAAACAGTGCGTTCGATTTATGCCCAGTTTGTTCTCTTGCTAACTTGTCTCCAACATTGTGCTGGAACATTCTAGTAGCGCAAGTAATACACAAACAGTGAACTGTTTTCCGAGGCAAGTTCGCTTTCAAGCATAATTTCTCTGGAAATATCTTATTTAAACTGCATAAACCTACAGGTTTGATTTTGACTACAACAAGCATTTTTCCCTCAAAATTTGCAGGTTCTATAACTAATTAAAAAACACTCATTATTATCTTGTGACAGTACCTTTACATGTGATTTCATCTGATAGGTGTCAATCAACGTCTAATTTTTTCCCCAATCACCAATAAAGAATGGTTATTGGTAAACTAGTGTGAGAAGTTTAGTTTTCTAAGGTCACAAAGGGAATATGCTAGCCGTTTTAAAAGAATTATTGGTAGAAAATCCTCTTTGCCGTGAAGATAAATTTGGGCCACGAGGGGTTATGGAGCAACTGCACGTGCAAGTGATTGACACGACAAACGCAATCTCTTGCCACGGTCTCATTTCACAAGTAAGACAAAATATTCGCGAAAACCTAACACCTAACCGATATAGACTGAATACAATGCACCCAAACATCGCTCATGTTGATGACCAACCCCATGGCACTTATACTTTATAAAACGACGCATCTTTTTCAAATCTTTCAGGTCAGGCCGCCGTAAAACGTTTTAAACAACTTTTCATTGAGAGTAATGTAATTTTCTTTAATAAAAATGTTGCAGAGCCTAAGTAACCTGTGGTCGCCAGCTCGAAGACCGAAAAGTTTTCCGTCATAAAATAAATTGTATACATCAATGACTCAACTGAAAATCTTCTAAGAAGGCCTTTTCCCCACAATATCTGTTATTTCTTTGCGGTTGTTCATTTTGCACTACACTTCGCTGAATCCTTCATCTCCGCGTCTAAAACTTTACGAAACATCGCGAACCTGTTGTAATAAAATTATACAATCTGGAGGGCAATTTCATTTTTTGTACTGAGACGTCGTCCCCACTACACGTGATGGAAACTAGGTGTACGTAGTTATACTGCTAACTGGACGTTAACATTCAACGTGATTTAGCTCATGGCATCCGTCGAAGTATAGAGGACCTTTATAAACACGTGTTATTTGCCACGTGAATTTCTCAAAAAACGTGTTCACGTTAATTACTCGTGGGAACTCAAATTTTCCTCTCTTGTTCCACGCTCACGACAAGACCAGATAACATCTTCTTTATTGAATAAATAGTGAAGCCTCCACTGTGCTCTATTCTGTTTCAAAACACTTAGGAAGCGGTTAGAGCACGAGAGAAGTGTTAGAGAAACACGAGACGTAGTCAAGTCCTTCTTCCCTCTTCTTTAGTGCTCTAGCTAGTCGCTTCCTAAGCACTTAACAACAGAGTAGAGCACAGTCAAGGCTTCTCTATTTGTTAAGTAAAGAAGATGTTATCTGGTCTTGTCGTGAGGTTGGAACAAGAGAGGAAAATTTGAGTTGGCAAATAGCACGTGTGTATAGGTGTACACGTGAGTACATAGGTGTACACGTTCCCAATAAACATGAATTTGAGAGGCCGTTATAAGATATAAATGTGCTTATTCTGAACTCGTAAGTGACCTTTAAAGATGACAGAAAGGTCATTCTAAAAATAATGGCAGCTGCTAAGGTCTTTTGTATGTTGAGTCTTAAAAGAATATATTTTTCGCTTTCCGTGAATCCTATCCAGAGTGAATG